AAGAAAGTCCAGTTGCCTTGTGAAAAAGCATCTTTGGGATAACTAAAGTTATAGATTAAAATGACTTCTAAATAATTGTTGCTGATTAAGAACACACATGTATTGCTTGACTGTATATCCAGCATTTAGGATATCTGGTAGATTAAATATGTACAGAAGTTGGACAAATGCACTGAGCTATGCAACACTGGAAGAACAAATCTACTCTTGACTTTATCAATAGAATGCTAATGTATGTGGTCTGTCAACATTAGAATTGGATTTGTGGTTCTTTTTTTAAACAAAGGGCAGTAAAGAACAATCAAGCAATCTGCTCACATTGTTTGGAGTGTTTCCTTAGAAAATTTTCCAGACTCTTATCCCTTTCTTTTCTTTGTGCGTATGTGTCGCGAGGGATAAATTTTGATTGTACATTATGTAGTAAACTCTATTTATGTATTTAATTTTTTGCTATTTTTTTTAAAATGTAAGGGTTTAAGATATTCTTCCGCTAACAAATTTTAATTTATTGGTAGTTGCTCAATTTACAAAGCAAATGCTTCTCTAATGTGACAGGTAACTTGCACTAGAATCTATATATTTTTATTCTTGTAGGATTGCAATTCTGTGCACACATATACCAGAATAATTCTCACTGAATACAGTGGGTTTTACTTCAGAGTAAATAAGAAGCAGACTAAATCATTAACAGTGTAGTCTACTCTGAGAGTTCTAGAAAAGAGCATGAAAACAAACTTAATTTTGGGAGAAAACAGTTTAACACTTCCTGAAACAGGGTGGCTCAACTACTTCTCTAAAACTGCAGCTGTTTTTCGGGCTGAGATAAAATCTAGGTGGTGAAGAATGGTGCCTTCCAGTTTCTATGGTAGCCAGTTTCATTGCCTAGGTGATAGATCACTTATGTCAAGGCAACTGAACTACCAGGCAATAAATTCAATAAAGTCTTTCAAAATGTCTTAAAATACAAAGTTTATTTCAGGACTTAATATGTAAAATACTAGCAGTAGAAGCAAATATTTTTGGTTAATTTGGAATAACCCCTGTGGAAAACTTCACATTATTGCCTTTATCTGTTCTCAAATGTCCTCAGCTAACTTAGAACCTTTGATATGTAGGCATAACAAAAGACTAGTATTTATTATTTATTTATTCATTATTTCATTCCATTTATTCATTCATTCCTTTATTCGTTCATTCAATTTCTATAGTTACCCAACTCAACCAAGTGACTCTCGGCGACTTACAATTTTAAAATTATAAAACAATTAAAACAATTTAAAAAACATTAAAACAATAAAAACCTCCTTAAAATAAATATGTACAAAAAGCAGCAATGATGATTAATCAACTAATAGTAAAGCCAAGCAACAGGGTCCTTAGCACATTCCAAGCTACAGGCCCTGAAACACAGCCAAATTTTTAAAACTTTGCAAAAAGCCGAAAAGTTGGGGCCATTCTAATTTCGGAGGGGAGAATAGTCCATAAGGCAGGGGCTTATCCCATAAGGATAGGGCTAGCATAAACTACGGTTATCATTGTTTCCGATAGACCTACAGCAGCTGGACCAGGGTTCCGAACCTTTCTAAGCTGAAAACACATGGCCGTTCTGATAAAATGACTGCCTCAGTGCCACCACTTCATTTAGCCTTCCAGATGTTTCTTTACTAGATTTTTTTTTCCTGGTGAGCGAGACATATTAAAAAAAAAAAAAGCATTGCACTATAGACTCCTTCATTTTTTTTCAGAATGCCTTCAAAATGCATATAATGCAGAGGATAATTATTGGAAATAAACATTTTCTTTGTTACTTTTGGTTTTAGGCATGAAGCCGGGCAATCTGAAAAGTTAACAGGCCGTATGTTACAGGGCACCGAGATATACTTTTTGTTTTATTCCCAAGATTTTAAAGGGAGTCACTATCCAAATATATAGTTAACTCCCAAGTTGTAGAAGAGCCTTACTATTCAGCAGCCACTAGTTCAGGAACTTAATGCTCAAAAACAGGAAGGCACAAAAAAGAATGTTTGCCCCACTTTGATTCCTTTTGGTGTAAGAGGAAGAAAAAGAAAAATGCTGTCAAGTTTTCCATATTATAATTTCAGCCCAAAAAAGTAATGTCTTTTTTTTTTTTTTTTTGGATGAGTGTCTTCTTTCCTAATCTGGTCTACCTAAAAAGGCTAACACAAGTATATTGGTGAAAAACTGGCTAGTTAATTGTAAAACTAAACCTTTGCTAAAAAGAAAAAAAAAGTAATATGTACACATCCTCCCAACCAAATCCATTCCAGTGGGCAGACTACAATGCCCACAACAGCCAACTCATTGACTGAAATTATGGATACTGTAAACTCCATGTCTGGTGGGCAGGCCAAGCTTAGATGCGGTTTGTGAATAACTGGCAAATATCCAGGAAGCTGCGTGGAACAAAGAAGAGAGGAAACAAAGAGGAAAACCCATTCCACAAGTTTTATGGGAGAACATATACCATTCTTAAATTTTACTAAGGGTAAATTTACAAACATTTCTGCTTGAGAAATTAAGAATCAAACCCCAGAAATTCTCAAAATCATAGCAGCTGGATAAAGATTCTTTAATAACATGGAAATGCAGACAATATTCAGCCTGTTATATCAGTTTCACAGCAAGGTCCTTAAATATAAAACCAGATCTTGTGCTGGTTGTCTGCACCAAATTTGGGATGCTAGAAAATGTTTGCATTTTCTCACATTTTTTTCCTGGAAAACTACATCTGAGAAAGTGACATTCCAAAAGTTTTGAGTAAATACATGCAAAACTGAAATGGGCTACATGTGAAGTATTCTAGCCATCCATTGCATTGGGTTAGATGCCTAAAAGTACATTCTGCTCTTCTGACAAATACAGCAAGATATTTAATTTCTGACAATTTCTCCTTAGCATGTACGAAACTAGGTCACTTACCAAGGACAAGTTTAGAAATTTTAGAAACAAATAGGTTCTGAAACAAAATATTAGAATGGCTAAACATCATAACTAATCACTAGCTATGATCTCCATTCTGCATTTTCTGTTCTGTTCCATTTTGCCATTCCTTTCTTAAATTTTCTACTTATCTCTTAATGGTAAGGCTTCTATTAGGTGTATCTATGCACAACTTAGTTAGATAATCATCCATTTCTGTAGACAGCCTGGCCACATAGTTAATCAGCTCTGACTGGATTGTAACATCTTCTGTGGATCTACTCTTAAGATGGTCTGGAGACTGGAGCTGGTACAGAATGCTAAAGTAAGGATAGTATTTGGGCGTATATTACTTCTGTTCCGAGAGGAGTGCATTAGCTGCCAGTAAAATGCAGGGCTCCATTACAGATGCTGATACTTTTATCAGGCTCAAGGTTGACTCAGCCTTCCATCCTTCTGAGGTCAGTAAAATGAGGACCTGGATTGTGGGGCAATATGCCGACTATGTAAACCGCTTAGAGCAGACATGTCAAACTCGTGACGTCACATGATGTCGCACAACGTATCGGGAGTTTTGCCATTGCCGGCAATGGGATGGGCACGGCTTCCGCATGACGCGTCTGGCCCACAGGCCGGCAGTTTGACACCCCTGGCTTAGAGGGCTGTAAAGCACAATGAAGTGGTATGTACGTCTAAGTGCTATTGCTATTTTAATGATATTTTGTGATTTTATTAAAAGCCACTCTAAAAGGCGCTCTAGTTCTATATTGAAATAAGTAAATTGCCTTCTGAATATGCTCAATTCTCATTAGATAGTAAAGGAAGTTTATTCTCTTTCGTATTTCTTAGTTGAAGCACTGTCTTCTTCTATATGTGTTTAAACCTTGATAAATTTTAAGGCAGGTGGATTCAACTCCCAGAATTCCACAGCCAGCAATGCTGGCTGTGGAATTCTGGGAGTTGAAGTCCACATGCCTTAAAATTGTCAAGGTTGAGAAACACTGTTCTATATCCTTACTATATAGCTTCTTCTAGCCATATAGTCAAATTAAAAGATATGTAATATAACGTATTTCTAGTGTTCTAGTGTTGTTTTTTTTTAAAAAAACCTCACATGGCCTGATTTGAATATATGCCTAATATCATTAATCTGATCTTCTCAGCTAAGCTACTCTACAGAAGAATGCCAATATCCTTCTACCCGTAACTGTGAGGGATAGGATAGAAAGTGTAGGATTCAGGACTACCAGTACAAAACTAGATCCCTTCCTCCTAAATGGAAGATTGGAATTCTAAAATTCAGGTAGTCGTCGATTTACGATCATAATTGAGCCCCAAATTTCTGTTGTTAAGCGAAACATTTGTTAAGTGAGTTTTGCTCCATTTTATGACCTTTTTGCCACAGTTAAGTGAATCACTACAGTTACTAATTTAGTAACAAGGTTGTTAAATGAAACTGGCCCATTGACTTTGCTTACCAGGTCAGAAAAGCTGATCACATGACCCCAGGAAACTGCAAGTCTCATAAATATGAACCAGTTGCCAAGCACCTGAATTTTGATGACGTGACCATGGGATGCTGCAATGGTTATTAAGTGTGAAAATGGCCATGTCACTTTTTTCAGTGTCATAACTTTGAACAGTCACTAACGAACCGTTGTAAATCGAGGACTACTTGTAATTTAATAGATAATAGTGGTAATTTTGGGGCAGACTTGGTTTCAATGGTAAAATTGATGCAATCATATATCCATTGCACGTCTTACCTAGGAATACCGACTCCATCCCCAAACGTTAGTTGAGGATAACAAAGACGCAGGACATGCAGTGTGCTGATTTTAGGCATGTTTTAATTATATGCTTCTCACTGAAAGCCCAGTTGTGTGTACACTTAATATTTAAACCTACTTTCTTCTTGGTACAAACAAGTTTGGTTTAGCCCACTTCATTCTGATTTAAGTTCATAGGTTTTCAGCTCCTCTGCCAGCTTGTAGTTATAATGCATTTTCTTTTGATTCTACCGGGAGCAGTGACAAAAGAAGATTCAAGACCAGATCAAGAATCTTGCAAAAATTAGGGCATTTTATTTCTACAAATATGCTATTCCAAGATGTATGAATGTATGTATTCTAACATTTCTGTTAAGTTTCAAAGACAAAAATTTAAGTGTGATGAACAAGCGTAATCATTAATAATTTAATACACTTTTGTATAAGATCTAGCAGAGTTTTGGGGGGTGGGAAGGGAAGAAGCACTTTTTATTGGTGCTGCGGATCTGAGCATTTATTAAAAAATTGCATAAAATTTTTAAACAGTGAGTATACCTTTAGGAGGCAGAAAGGACTACTCTTACAGAAAACTGATATATGGAGGCTGCCTAGGTAATCATTTATGAACTCCAAAACCATTTATGATATGGCATAGATTTATATATAATATTCAATGGCAATTCTACTCTAAAGATTGAAACGTGAAGTTACTTAGTGATCTCTTCAAGTAGCAGGAAAACTGCTCAGATGCCTTACTATTCTCAACATATTCACCCATAAATAGTTGTTCGGATACTTTGGAGAAGACAATGGCAGTACAACCTCAAATACTTCTGCAAAGCAAATCGGTCCTAAAAAAATAGTCTTTTTTTAAATTCCAAATATATTTGACCATTTCTATTAGAAGGACCAAAATTTAACTTAAAATAATTTTTAAGAACTCTAACAATTGCATAAACCAGGAATAGACCAGGTGGTAAATATGTCTGGTTTGATATTATGTACGTATATGAAAATTTTAAATGCACGGCCAATGTTTTACAAGAAGCGGAATACTTCTTAGGAGAAATACTCACTTTTGGGTGAACTTTCTTCTTGATACATATTATATAGCACACAATTCGTGTTTCTTCAAAATTTTATTTCAATTTAAATTAAGGGGCCAGCCAGATCTTCTAATAAGAAATGCATTCATTTGAAGAAATGAGATGCTTTCATGGAAGTAAATTTACAATTGTACACATTTAGGAAAAAAAAACCCAAAAGCTCACATTAAATAACTTTTAGTAATATCTTTAAGCCTTCACACAGATAAGAAACCATTTCCAGTACAATAGTTTAATATGAATAGCACATCAAATGGTCTTAAATACAACTTTTTTTGAAAGCCAACACTCCAAGGATTAATGTTTTTTTAAAGTATAACCTTTTGTCCCATGCCAAATAAGAGAAGCAAAATCAATATCCAGATCCATCTTTTAACTTTCATATATCTATTTTGATAGATGTGTGTGTACACACACACATACACACACATATAGATATATATACACAGAGATATACAACTTTTAGCATGTCTATATATTTTTTTCTAAAAGTGGAAGCCTTGTGCATAATGGAGAATAACTTGCCACCTAATATTTCCTTGTCTTAGCTATACTAAACCAAAATATAAAAAAAGACAAAGTACTGTACTGATCTATAATATTACCACCTCCACGGCTGCTTTTGCCTGTCTATATAAATGATTCAATAGAGCAGTGTTTCTCAACCTTGACAATTTTAAGGCATGTGGACTTCAACTCCCAGAATTCCACATGCCTTAAAATTGTCAAGGTTGAGAAACACTGCAATAGAGGATAATGATCTTTTTCAGTAGATATTACAGATCATTTTGCAAATGGCTTATGACTGCTGAAAGAAACATATATCCAATATTATCAGAATTCTATTTGCTGGACTTTATTCCAACTTCCATTATGAAGGCTTTAAAAATTAGCTAAAATGTCAATCAGCAAATTAATCATTTGTAAAATAATTTAATCATATAGATGCTAGAAAGCAATAAATAATTGTATAGCATTTTCAATCAGATTCAGTCATGCGGAATTTGAACTTTCATACTCCTAATTCAAAAAGTTGGCTGGTTGTCATCTCAGTTCTACTATTATGGTGAATAGATAAGATTTTGATAACATACTTTAGATATATCTAGCATTTTGTTATGATCACAGTAACAAAAAGTGGTGCAAAATCAGTCTTTAAAAAAATACTGATAGTTTGCAGCATTAAGGAACAGGATATTGACACTAGGACAGTTATGAAAATTATGGTTGTTGATGGGAAAATATAAGTTAAATACAACACAACTATTATACTAACGATATGAAAAGAGAGATTCTCTTTATACCCACATGAAAAACAAATCTGAATTAATTTAGCATAATCTTTATAATTTACAATTGGCCAAACACAGCACTGATATAAATGGAGAAGGCCAACATTGAGGAATACAGGTTTAGTGGGTTCCAGAGCTATATTTTTAGTCTACTTTAACTGATGGCACTGCATTATACTTGCAAATACAGAAAAAAATGGATTCTTTTTAATGCTGCAGTATTTAAGAAATGTGAAATCAGTATTTTCATGTGATCCAAGGTAACATTTTACATGAGCTTTCATTTTGCAAAATTCAGTATCAGTATCAGGTAAAAGTTACAGACTAATACATTAACATTCCTCTGCTGTACAAATTAAATCATTTTTAAAGAAATGAGCAGCGTAGGAGTTATATACAGAATAAAACAAGCATTGTTGAAAAGAAACACGAAGTGTCACTGCTAAGCTCTATTGTCTGAAACACAATTTGAAGTAAAAGTAACAAAAATTCTTATAATGTATTTCCAAGTCTACATCTCAATTCTCAGAAAATCACTGTCAAAAACAAACTATAAAGCAATGAAAGGCATATATACATTTTCCTCATGAACATTGAGATGTCATTCTTAGACATTGCTATGTTTCAGTATCAATTTTATTTGCAAGACAACTGTTCATCCCAGAAAGCTCACATCTTAGATACATTTCCCCTTTGATTACAATTAAAGCACTGCACATTTTTAAAAAAAAAATCAAGGCATATAATCTTATACTATGGTGCCAAATATGCACAGATCACATTGTGCTCGCATCTCATACAAGGTTAAGTGCAAACATATGGATTGAATCAGATTTGCTAGCATGCACCCTGTTATAAACTAGTCTAATACCTTCTCTCCTATCTCAAACTGTCTTATATGTTTGTTTCATGAACCAATAATCTTTCCCATCCCACCCCCACCCTGGACTTCTAAAAACAAGCGGCGTGCTTGAATTCAGACACAAATATCAAGAAAGTCCACATTGTGCAAGAAAGCAGCAGCTAGGTTTGTCAACTCGGACTAAAAAATAAAGAGAAGAAAAAACAAACAAACTGTTCACTGAACAGCGGATTAGCAGTAATGTTCCTCATGAAGTGATAAGAGTGCCTGATGCTGAATATCTAACAGCAAATGCTGAATTTGGATTTAATATTTTAGGGGTTTATAGAAGATTAGGCTTCTTGTTGTGCTGGTCTTTTCAAATCCCTGATCTGTTTAACTAAATAGGTCTTCTCATCGTTAAATTGTTCATCCTCGGTCCTGTCGTTCTGAAACTTGCTGAGAAACTCAATAAGTTTGGTCTGGTTCTTTAAGAGAATATCTAATATAGGTTGCGTCTTGTTAGGATTGGCTACAAACACCTGCAATACAATTTTCAGAAAAATTAAAATCAGAATGCACTGGCAAATATTAACAGAAGAATACGATTTTCTCTATACAATGCATGAAATTTACAAGGACTGAAGTACAATGTACAATATTGCAATCCATGCATAAAATTTGTCAGAATCACAATTACACAATGTAGGCAGTTTTTCCATTTTTTTTTCTTTTAATGACTCTGTAATCTCTTGCATTAGGGTGGAGTTGGCAACTCAAGGGAGCTGAGCGTTTACTAGCTGAACGTTCTTTCTGATGCTACAGGGAGTCTGCAGCAGATATTTTCTCTTTGTGCCCAGAGAGAAATATCTGCCACTACTTAGGATTGAACTCATAGCCTCCTGATTGTGAGGCAAGAGCTCCACCTCTAGGCCACCATGCTTCTCTTTAGGCAGTGTTTCCAATGCTGTTTCCAAACTGAAAGTAGATCAAATATCCATAAAAGACTAGCAAAATACAAAGAAGACCCATTTAAAAGTTCTATAAATAGGCAGAGTTAATTAATTAAGAAACTAAAATCAGCATTCCGATACTTATTTTCGTAAGCAATAAATTTATTCATACCATAGTTTAGATCTGTGATGCTGGATTTAAAAAATAAGAATAATTACTTGGATTTACATATTATGATTCTGAAACTTATACAAAAAAATATTGCTGGCTCCATCCCTTTCCCATTTATTCAAATCTTACTAGGCAACTGTATTACATTGTAATTGTAAATCAGCATTACCTTAAAGACGTGGAAAGCCTCAAACTGAATGTTGCGACTTTTGTCCCGTAAAAGATTCATCATTAGCTTGAGATTTTCAGGTTTACTGATATATTTTGTCATAATTGTGAAGTTGTGTCTATCCAGTAGCAATTCACCAAGTAGCTACAGCAATAAACAAACAGGATTGTTTTTCATAAGAACTATAAAGCACACAATAGTTAACAGAGCCAATGGTTGCATTTCCTTTTGCATAATTCTTATTTTCCAAAAGATAAGTAGTGATACTAGGTAATTTATTATTATGCCCTATTCTCTGCCATGTAAACTATTAAAATTATCTGGATTCATTCCAAAAATCATAAAAAATGGAGGTCATCATTGCCTTATGGACCAATAATTGTCATATGGAAGCACGAAGAACAAATATAGACGCCTTCTTCCAGAGTAGACCACAGATGCAAGGAAGGTGGAAGAAAATGGCAAAATGATCTTTTTACTACTGCTGCTTCCAATTAAAAAAATGAGTAGTGTTTATAGTAAAAAGGAGAAATTTATATTACATGCTTAAAAAGCTTTAGTTAGTATTGACTGCAACACATACTTATAGAATTGGTGTTAACAAGTTACATAAATAACATACAAATTTCCTAAGATTCAGAATCTTCGTGACACATTTTATTTTAATATAGAAAAACAGAATAACTAAGTCTTCTTATACCATTGCATAGTGATTTTTTTTTTTTACCTTAAGTGACTGTCGTTTTGTTACATAATTTTCTGAGTGGAGCAATTTTTCATATTCACTGAAGAACTGGATGGGAGAAAAAAATAATTATGGCCTTTTCAATCAACAGAATGATCCCAAGTTATTTGACTCATTTAATTAGAAATAATAAAAACAACAATGCATTTAGAGACTATTCTAATTTTTTTTAGTATTTTTCTTGTACTACATACATAAAACAACTAAATAAGTATTCTGCAGCTTACTGAATGGAGTTTTCAGTTAATTCTTTAGGCAAACGTACCGTATATTCCGGCGTATAAGACGACTTTCTAAACACTTAAAATCTTCGCAAAAGTCGGGGGTCGTCTTATACGCTGGAAAAATATTACTCAGCAAGTTTTCTCTCCCCCCCCCTCGCTCAAAAAGAGTCCTAGGGTTATTATTATTAAAACCAGCCGATCAACTAAAGATATCTCTTTCCAGCCTCTATACTGGGAGTACGATAGGCATCTGGCTGTCGTGATGGTAAGATTTCCTGGAGGTTTATTCCCCATTCTATAATGCTAGATTGCAAACCGTCTCCTCTCTTCTTCCCTCCCTTTTGCCATCCCAATTCCTTGCCCACCCCTCCAGAACTGCGGATTGGTAGTGGCCGTCCCGTGATTAATTCATTCAAAGGAAGTAGAAAGGGATGGCCCATGTAATGGGGAAGGGGGGAAAAGAGTTGTAGGTTGGTTTTTTTTATATAATGAAAACAAACCTAAGCATCTGCGTCCATTCGAGGCACTTCTCAGCGCTTCTTCATGCAGGCTTTTCAGCATTTACTTCTCACTGCCAGTGAGAGTAGCTTGGGGGAGGTGGAGCTTATGGGTCTGGAAGGGGAGGGGTGTCAGCTAAATTCCTCTCAGATTTACGAAGCAGGAATGGAGTGGGGACAGAAAACAGCTACACAATCCTTTCCCATGTCGACTTCCACCGAGCTTATGCAAGCAGTTCTACCCCAGTCTAAATAAACTTGCATGGTACATTTGTGGTGTTATTTATGACAGATCCTGGCTGGTCAATCTGGCTCCCATCTATAAGTACTATAGTGCACTGAGTTTTAATAACAAATTAAAAGGAAAGCATTTATTCCCCCCCATTACCTGAAAAGGGGGCAACTTATCACATTTGTGGAAATGCAAGTTTTCGAAGGGCGAATGCCTTTCTTACTCGGTTTATTAACTGCTTCCTTTCCTTCTTCCCTAAACATTTTGGCTGTCGCCAATTTCATTCTTGGTAGTGTTGCTTTAAAAAACTGCTGAGAAGTCCTTTTGCAGGCAGGGCAATTTTCATCAAGGTGTGTGTGTGATTGACAAGGCAGAGCCTTTGACAAACAGGCAGGCTTTCTGCTCACTTGGCTCAGGGAGGCTGTGGAGGATTCGCAGGGTGGAAGACTGAGAGGAGGAGATCCCTGTGTGCAGCCTGCTTGCTCTAAGCCAAAGCTTGCTACTGGGGGGAGGGCAATGGAAGGGACCCGGGGAGTCACACGCATGCCTACACGCGCACGCACACACCCTGAGCTACTCATTTGGGCTTACAAGTGGCCAATGAGAACTCAGAAACTGCGCTCCCTTTCCCTCCTCCCTCATGGAATTAGCTTGTCCACTTTTTCCCTAGGGCCTATACAGGGGTAGGCAAACTTGGCTCTTTTATGACTCATGGACTTCAACTCCCAGAATTCCTGAGCCAGCTATGTTTATATAAATGTTTATTTATATAAATATAAAATATTTATTTATAAACATATAAACATGTTTATATGTTTATAAATGACAGTTTTCCTGCTAAGTACCTGTATATCATAAGCATTTGAATTAAAATTACCATATTGAAATCAAATCTGATGTTTTTTAATTTTTATTTGGTGTGCATTGGAAGAGGGGTAGTCTTATACGGCGAGTATAGCCCAAACTCTATATTTTAACTGGAAAAGTTGGGGGTCGTCTTATACGCCCAGTCGTCTTATACGCTGGAATATACGGTACTTGAGATTATAAACAGTCAACTCTATATTTTTATCATTAGCTATGGCCAGTAGATGGAGCAAGGTTGTCATATGTACTTCTCTGATTAGCATCACTATCAGGAACGGCAACACAGTGAGAGTATGTTGTTTGCTTCTTACAAAAACAATTTTATTCATAGATATTTAGCTGGACAAGAAATGTTTTTTACTCTCATAATGTGATGATTATTCTGATAGTTGAAAGAAATTATAACAAAGAAATAAAAATACATACCCTATCATAATGCTGTTCCAAAAATTCTGCACTTAGCAATTTGTGCCTTGTAAGTAAATCCTTGAAATAAGAAAATACACTGTTATTTAAAAGATAATTCCTCTCCTTTTCTATAATTTCAGGATATCTGAAACAATTTTTAACAATACAGCTCGTCCTCACGATCACAACTGAGCCCAACATTCTGTTGCTAAGTGAGATATTAGTTAAGTGAGTTTTGCCCCATTTTACAATTTGTTAAGTGAATCTGGCTTCCCCACTGACTTTACTTGTCAGAAGATCGCAAAAGGTGATCACATGACCCCAGGACATTGGAACTGTCATAAATATGAAAGCTGCCAAGCGTCTGAATTTTGATCGTGACCATGGGGATGCTCCAACGGTTTGTGAAAAATGGTCTTAAGTCACTTTTTCCAGTAACTTTGAATGGTTACTAAATGAATTGTTGTAAGTCGAGGACTACCTGTATTCTTTTCCATTTAATTATTCATATGCCACATAACTCAGTTAAGCTTACGTCTATTTTCAAGAAAACTATGCAATCGCAATTTTTGTGCAATTTTTATTTCAGCAGAGATGGAGAACCTGCAGCCCCACCCCAATATTACTAAGTTTGTATTAACCTTCATCATTATGTTTCTAGAATTCAACAGCTGAAAAGCTATACACTGTTGTTTATCTCTTTGGTAAAAGATTGATGTACATTTTAATACTGGTATTATTTCTGTAATTTTAATAATGTTATTTTGTGGCTCTCTAATTGATTCTTTGATATATTTTCCAAAATGAATTTGAGCAGTCATGATATAAATTTTTAACTATTGTCGAATATAAACAATACAACCTTGAAAGTGGCAAATGCATCTGAAGCAATGTCAAATGTTGACATTTCCACATATCTGAAGAAGTCATAAAACTGTTCTGACCACAAGATTATTTTCGCTAGTGGTTCATGTCTGATGCATTCTCTTAACATGATTCCGCAATTCAGAGCAATTTCTGGAGATTCATACCTGTTTAGGTAAGAAATATAGTATCAACAAAAAAGGCATACATTCAGAGCAGATTATAAATGTATGTTCTAAATTGCCTCCTAAAAATTTAAGTTCGTATTTATTGATACACTTCTACTGCATGAATGTCTCTATGTTCAGATAAGCTTGGAAGGAGAAAAAAAACATTCTGGGTAAAAAATGGTTCATGTATCCCGCTTTTCTATACAGGTATGTGTGCTTTCCCCTCCACTTTTCTCTCTTTCATCTTTTGCTGACTTAATGCTAGCTTACTCTCCACTGCATTTGCCAAGGTCTTTTTTCTTTTAGCAAAGCTATCTCGCCTCCCCCCCCCCCAAGAGTGTACATAAAGTTCAAAGGACTCTGTGCAAGGGAAGGGATTTGCCAACTGCTAGGGGCTTCAGTGGGAATTTAAAGAAGAACCGAGAGGCGCCAATGGCATCCAAAGACTTGCTATTTTTACATTCATATCAGAAGTCCCTATAAAGCAGAATGAGATTTCAAAATGCTTTCATAAATGGAATTCCAGGAATATTACCATCATACTCTGAATAATATTCAGACTTTCATTAAACAAGTGTTGATTTTACTGGCAAAGTCCTAAGTAATTTACAGTTTAACTATATGACCTTAAAATTTGGTGGAATTTTAGTGTATTATTTATTTGCTGAGTTTGAAGGAATAAGCAACATTTTGCAAGTTTTGAATGCATTGTGTTTGTTGTTCATGTGCTGAGTAAGAAGCAAACAATGGTCAAAAGAAATAAGTACTTTTCTGTTTACAAACTTTTCTATTTTGTTATTTCTCGCATTACTTAACTTTTTTAAATGACAGGAAGGGATTTCATTTCCCCCAAACGTGGGGAAAAACAATTATAAATTATAAATATTCCTCTGTGCTAAACAGCAACAATACTTCACTATTAATTTGTTGAAAGGTTTCACGTTTGTTTGTGATTGTGAACACAAATGAAGCATGATGCTCCAATATAATAATGCACGATACAAGCAGAGGAAATAGCAATCTGGTGGGGAACATACACAATGAGTTGTTCTTTATTTGAGAAAACTGAACCAATAATTCTTCATTGCTACAAGGCTATGAATTGTATATCAAGAGACACAGAGCACATTGTGCAGGAAGACTTCAGTCTACTTCATGAATGATAAGCAAACATTCAATGTTTAAGGGCCAATTTCCATAGCAAGGTGACAAAATATGCAAACAATTACAAAATTAAAACCCATAAACAAAATAATGAGAACAATTCCACGCTTAAAGGCTACTTATGAAGACACATTAAAAGAACAGGAAGCTTATTTTTAAAATAAGACACTTATTAGTATTCTTCTGCAGGGATATTTGACTAATGCCTTTCAGAGAAATCTTAAATGTACCTTCCATATAGTAGTAGTAGTAGTAGTAGTAGTAGTAGTAGTAGTAGTAGTGGTAGTAGTAGTAGTAGTAATAATAATAATAATAATAAAGTTGGAAAGGACCTTGGAGGTCATCTAGTCCAACCCCCTGCTCAGGCAGAAAACCCTATACCATTTCAGACAAATGGTTGTCCACTCTCTTCTTAAAGACTTCCAGTATTGCAGCATTCACAGCTTCTGGACGCAGGTTGTTCCACTGGTTAATTGTTCTAACAGTCAGGAAATTTCTCCTTAGTTCTAGGTTGCTTTGAGTCAAACTAACTCTTTGGTTAGTTTCCATCCATTGTTGTCCTGCCTTCAAGTGCTTTGGAGAATAGCTTGACTCCCTCTTCTTTGTGGCAACTCCTGAGATATTTGAACACTGCTATCATGTCCCCCCTCATCCTTCTCTTCATTAAAATATAGTAGATTTGTTTCTAAAACATTATTATTAAAAATAATAATGCTAGGCTACAGTTAACGTGGTAAGAATTTCATAGAAGTACAGGTTTTAATTCCTCTATCTTGCAGGGAAACTGGAAGTTAAGTTGAAAACATGTTGCTGGTATGTTTGCATGTCACATTAGTTTTAATTTAGTATAATATCCCGTTCTGTCATTATGGTTTATTGAAACAAGGCTCATTTCCACTAATTAAACTTAATAGTAGTTTGCCCAGAGTTAAGATGACATAATAAATTGTGGTTAACAACCAGCAGATGCAAAACTTTTCAAACTTCTTATTGTTATGCTAACACAGGGATCCCCAACCCCTGATCCATGGACCAGTACCAGGCCACAGCATTCCAGCAACCGATCTGCACAAACAAGCAAAGCCCCATCCATGGGATGCAGGCAGCACACAAAACCACACCTTGTCTAGTCCGTGGAAAAACCTCACTCCACAGAACTGGTCTCTGGTGTCCAAAAGATTGGGAACCTCTGTGCTAACAAGACTATTGGAAGGGTCCATAGATGAAATTTGGTTGAAATGGGCTTTTGGGGGGCGGGGGCAGGATAGGAGGTCCTTTAACAAGTAATTGAAGTTCAGAATTTTCCTGCCACTGCAGATAATTACAGGAATACCAGCAGTTCTTTAGGTCTACAAACTAGTTGACACGTTATAATTACAATTATAAAGTAATTGTCAAGTTTATACAACTAATTATTAAGGTATAGATACTATAGCCCTACCCAGGTAGAAAATAATTAAATGTAAACTAGTTTTATATCAGCAAAACAACAATCATTTCATATTTACAATATAATACATACCCTTTTAACAGCATGAACAATATATTTTGCTGAGTGCAGATGTATTCAACTGTGGGTGTTCTAGTACCAATTTGTCTTCTCAGAATATTGTTAAATATTTGAGCCACGTCCTTTTTGCCCTATCAAAAATACAAACTAGGATGTTATGTTGGTTATGTTTTAAAGACAAACTGATTGATTCAATCGAAGGACTTGTGTTTTATAACTATTTTTATAAAATATATATTTTATAAATATAAATATATATTTTTATTCTCTATTGAATAGCAAATATAATTAGTTTACACTCACAAACATATATCAGCTTTTTATTGCCTAATTTTACCAAAACTAATTTCCCTGTGCAGGATTTTATTTTATCCTACAATAAAAGTTTTTAACTACTGCTTTCAACTGCACCTATGACTGTATATTTACATTCTGAAGTTACAGAAGAAAATTTCTCTTTGCCACCAAGAACCCAACTTCTCCAGCCATCATAGTTTACCCCTTGTTCATCTTGACTAGCTCTGAATTTATTATTAGCATGTCAAAATAGAAGGGGCGTTGACTTACCTGAACGCCTTTTCTCAGCACGGAGATGGATAATCCACGCAGTGGGTTGAGACTGTATTCCTGGCCAATCAGATCAGTCAGCCAAAGTTGCCACGCCCTGTCCTGGACCATGATTCTCCAGTCTTGACTCGAGCGCAGTCATTGACTGACAGTAAGACGTTTTGGCTCCACTAAATATACCTTATTATCCTAGTCTATAAGGGTGGGTGTGGATTATCCATCTCCGTGCTGAGAAAAGGCGTTCAGGTAAGTCAACGCCCCTTCTCCAGCACTGGAGATGGATAATCCACGCAGTGGGACATACCAAAGCCTATTGTCCCTTGGGTTGGGGAATAGACTGGTCCCGTGTGTAACTTTGGTCTAGAACCTGCTGGACAACCATCCTACCGAAGGAGGCCTCTGCAGAGGAGTACTTGTCGATTTTGTAATAGCGAATGAATGGAGAGGGCGAGGCCCAAGTGGCTGCCCTGCATACCTCTTCAATAGAAGCCTGCATGGCCCATGCTGCTGAGGTGGCAGCACTCCTTGTGGAGTGGGCCGTGATATGCTTGGGGACTTGCAAGGACTCCGCCTGGTATGCCCCAGTGATGCATGCCCTAATCCACCTACCGATGGTAGAGGACGAGACCTTCCGGCCCCTAGTAGCGGGGTGGAAGGATATGAAAAGCGCTTCCGAGCGTCGGAATTCCGCTGTGCGCGAAATGTAATGTCTTAGTGCCCTTCGTACGTCCAAGGTGTGCCATTGTTGCTCCAGGGGATGAGCTGGGTTTGGACAGAAGTCTGGTAGGACTATTTCCTGTGATCTGTGAAAAAAGGAGTTGACCTTTGGAATGAATGAAGGGTCTATTCTTAGGACTACCTTGTCCCTGTGAAAATGACACAGGTCCTTCCTCGTTGAGAGAGAAGCTAACTCGGATATCCGTCGAGCTGACGTGATAGCTACTAAGAATGCTACCTTATGGGTCAGGTAGCGAATGTCACATGTTTTGAGTGGTTCGAAGGGCGCTCTGGTAAGAGCTTGTAGTACTCGTGGTAGTTCCCACGATGGATACCTGTGCACGGTTGGCGGTCTGATGTTCGCAGCCCCCTTGAGGAAGGATCGTATTAAGGGATGCTTGCCCAAGGATTCACCGGGGCTGGCAGAAAGTATAGTTGAGAGGGCGGCGATTTGCCTGCGCAGTGTGTTTGGCGAGAGGTCCCTCTCTAGGCCATCTAGTAAAAATTCTAGGATCTTGGGAATTGTGATCCCTTCGAGTAACAATTCCTGTTTAGAGCACCATGATTGGAAGCTTCTCCACGTGGCCTCGTAGATACGGTTCGTGGAGGGGCGCCTTGATGCCTGTATGACCCTAATTACACCCTGTGAGCAAGCCCCCTTGGCTAAAATTGACCGTTCAAGAGCCAGACGGCTAGTTGTAGCCATTGTGGCTCTGGGTGGGAGATCTCCCCCTGCTTGAGGGAGATCCTCTCCGGAGGAATCCGCCATGGATTCGTGCGGGAGAGACTCCTCAAGTCTGCGAACCAAGGTCTCCTTGGCCAATAAGGGGCCACAAGGATTACCTCGGCCCTTTCCCGCAGAATCTTGCATACTACCGCCGGAAGGAGAGGTAAGGGTGGAAACGCGTACAGGAGTCCCCTTGGCCATGGGCTCCGTAATGCGTCCGTCTGCTCTGCTCCCCTGGATGGGAATCGGGAGAAGAAGCGAGTTAGGTGGGCATTGGAAGGAGAGGCAAAAAGGTCCACCTGGGGAAGCCCGAAGCAGTGACAGATCTCCCTGAAGATCCTCGGGTGTAGTTGCCACTCCGAGTGATCTATTGTTGATCTGCTCAACAGATCTGCTTGGATGTTTGCCTCCCCCGATATGTGGTCGGCCTTTATGGAGGCCAGATTTTGTTCCGCCCAGGCCCCCAGTAGGAGGGCCTCGGCCGAGAGCGAGCGAGAGTGTGTGCCCCCCTGACGGTTTATGTGGGCCTTGGCTGTCACGTTGTCCGTCAGGACCAGTACGTGCCTGCCTTTTATGCTGCTGTGAAAATGCCTTAACGCTAGGTGAATAGCCCGCAGCTCGAGCCAGTTTATGTTGTGTCGGAGATCCACCGCTGACCAGCGGCCCTGTGTCCACTTGGTCCCCAAGTGGCCTCCCCAGCCGAATAAGCTCGCATCTGTTGTGACTACTACTCTGTCTGGTTCCCTGAAGGGGGACCCCCTGAGGGGAGCTGGAGATAGCCACCACCTGAGGGAGTGTCGTACTCTCAGAGGTATGCCTACCTTCTTCCGGGATGCACTGATTTGCTGTCTCTGAAACGGGAGCATGAACCATTGCAGTTCTCTTGAGTGCAGCCTTGCCCAAGGAACTATTGCTATGGTCGATATCATCTTCCCTAGCAGCTGGGAGAGGCAGACCAGCGTCACTGACTGACCGCGGCTTACCTGTTTTACGGCTTTCTTTATGCTGCTGAGGCGTTCCTGTGATAGGTACACCTTGCACTCCTTTGTGTCTATGACCGCTCCCAGATGGAGTATTCTCGTAGTTGGGGTTAGATGGCTCTTTGGAAAGTTCACCGAGAAGCCGTGGTCCTGCAGCAGTTTTATCACTAATTTTAGGTCCGCCCGAGACTGCTAGGCGGACGATGACTGGATTAGAATATCGTCCAGGTAGCACTGGACTCTGACTGGTACGTTTCTTAGGTGTGCTGCCAGAACCGCCAGAATCTTGGTGAACACCCTGGGCGCTGATGACAGGCCGAATGGAAGTGCCCTGTATTGAAAATGGTGCCCCCTGTAGGCAAACCGTAGAAAGCGGCGGTGAGCCAGAGAGATAGGGATGTGCAAGTATGCCTCCGTGAGGTCGATCGATGCCAGAAAATCCCCTTTCCTTACGCTTCCAAGGATGGAGCGTAGTGTCTGCATTTTGAATTTGCGGTATTTTATGTAGAAATTTAGCCTTTTTAAATCCAGAACGGCTCTCCAACCCCCCGAGGGTTTTGGGACCACGAAGAGGATAGAATAAAACCCCTGGTCTCTCTGGTTCATAGGCACCGGCTCTACGGCCCGTATGTTTAGAAGGTGCTGAACGGCCTCGTTCATGAGCCTTCTCTTTGTTGGGTTTGTGGGACAGGGGCACGGGCGGAAGCGGTTTGGGGGCTTTGAGAGAAATTCTAGAGATAGACCATGATGTATGGTGTTCCTGACCCATACGTCCGTGGTGGTCTCTTCCCACTGGGGAGCAAACCCTGCTAGTCTGCCCCCTATGGGAAGGTCTGGGTGGGAGTCATCTGGTACGGCGGAAGGGGCGGTTGTTCCCCCGAAAGGGCCGTCTTCCCTGCGTTTGCCTATGTCTTGTGTTCTGTCTGTCCCCCTGTCTTTCCCTATCCTGTCTAGCTTGGAAGGGTTGGGAATTTTGAAAGTAGTTGACCCTGGCTTCCGTACGAAAGGATTGTTTCCTTCCCCAGGAGCCGGGTCTCTTGTCCTGCCTTTTAAGCATGTGTTTAAGGACCTTGCGCTTGTCCTTGTTCTCTGTAAGGTATGGCGTTAGTGCCTCACCAAACAGCTTTGCCCCTTGGTACGGAGCCGAAGCCAATTTCCACTTGGATTTGATATCCGCCTGCCAGTTCTTTAGCCAGAGGATGCGCCTGCTCGTGTTGTTTGCCGCCATTGCCTTGGCTGAAAACCTGGTCGCTAAAAGTGTCGCGTCCGACGCATATTCCGTGACCGCTACCATTTTGCTGAGTTCCTGGTGAGTGCGTATATCCTCCATGGGAACCCGGCCCTGTAACTCACGGAGCCAACAAAGTGTGGCTCTGGTGAAAAAGGACGCGGAGGTAGTCGCCCTGGTAGCCCAAGCTATTGCCTGGTGCGTTCTCCTATAGTTGGACTCACTCTTTCGGTCCTCGGCTTTAAGAGCCTCAGCAAAATCTCCTGATATGGCCATGTCCGATATCAGGAGACCTATGGGTTCGTCCACCATCGGCACCTCCAATGTTCCCTCTAGCTCCCTTGCTACGTTAAATAGCTTCCTCTCCGCATTGCTAGGAAGCGGTAGGGAGGTTGGCGCTGCCCACTGTTTCCTTATTGTGTTTAGGAACATGGTCGGGCATGGTATGCAGTGTTGAGTGGTTACCTTTTCGGCGAACGTCGGCTCAGCCTCCGTGTCAACTGTGACAGGCTCCGCTGGTGTCCCATGCCCCAGATGGGCTGTGGCCTCAGCCTTGCGCAGAATGGTAACAAAAAGAGAAGGGTTAAACAGGCCGCTGAAGGACGGCCCTTGAGGTGAGGTGTCCTCCTCTTCCTCAGACATTTGAATCCCTTGTGACGTACCTGGCTGGTCCAGGTAATCTTCCTCGGAGACTGACGAGTCTGAGAAGGAGGAGAGGTCCTGATGGTCCTCCGTTTCCTCCCGATGCCTCGTTCTAAGTCCTAGAGGCTTGGCTTTGGAAGTTTGAGCCCTGGCCTCAAATGCACGGTCCACTGCCTGCGCTATTAGGGTAGCTAGCAGATCCCCCGTCAATGCAGGAGGAGTAACCATTGCCTGCGACCCTGCAGGTGCTATGGTTAGCATGGTCCTCGGGGTTTCCTGTAACCTCCGTGGGGAGGTGGATCGGGAGAGCGATGAGAATTCGCCTATCCCATCCTCTGTTTGGGACTGTGATGAGTTCCCTAATGACCAAATGGCCCATGGGGATGAAGGAAGACCCAGCGGTAGATCAGGACCTATCCCCCCATTCTGCCTATTTTCAATTCTGGCCCTTTTCTGGGCTCTGTTGAACTCTTTTTCTAGGGCTTGGTGTCTTCTGATTGCCTATTTGTCAGCCTTCTTTGATGACTTCCTTGCAGCCTTTCTAGGGGCTGCAGAGGATTCCGAATCCTCTGAAGCAGGTGCTCCAGAGGATGAAGGCGGGGCTCCAGTGGAGGGAATGATTGCTTCCTCCATTCTCCACTAACACCGGGCCGCGATAGGGGGGACCCAGGTAGTAGGAGAGCTCCAACTTTGAGTAAGGACAGGCGCACTACTGGGGGCGTCTGGAACTCAGGAGCAGACTCTGCAAAATTGTCAGAGTTAGTCACTGTGCATGGATAAGAACAGGCACGGTAATGGGAATGCCTGGAACCCGGCTTGACTATGGTGGGTAAGGACAGGCACGCGACTGGGGATGCCTGGAACCCACCACTAAATCCAGACGCGTACGGGCCACTAATGGGGGACCCGAAGTCCGGAAAGAGCCAAAGGCAACTAAACACAGTTAGCTATGAAAGGTTCTTATTTACTTTAAATTGAAGACACCAAGTCCTGGAACCCGCAGCTATGTGTCTGATTTGAATGTCTCTGAATGAATAATAGATGCTTTAGTACCCCAGTACTGCTTGCCTATTAATTCACTCCAGCGGCTGAACCTATGCTTCACATGGAGCCTTAGATCCCCTGTTTGGACAAAAATATGGCCGCCGCTGCCAGGAGACTACTGTGCATGTGTTAAAAGGAGCAGGAGATTATTGCGCCTGTGCTAAAAAGGCTGCCTGTGCCACGTGCGGTTGTAACAAAGAGCCGCGCGTGCTCCCAGCTGTGCAGACAATGGCGCCTTGTTTAAAAATCCTGAGCAGCCTGGTGAGTGAAAGAGACTGCTCCTTCGCACGCCAGCTGTTTCCCTTAATCAATCTCCCTCCCAGCATGCGTCCCCTTTGTCCTTCGCTCCCCTCGCTAATTGCCTGCCTTTCTGTTTTTCTTTCTTTCTTTTTAACGCGAGGAGTTGCACGAGCCTCCTCGTTTGTTTAAGGCGGCTGCTGGAAGGTGGTTGGGGTTTGGGTTAGGGAGGGGAGTTAGGGATTTCCCCTTTTAAGTGGGGGTGGTTTCCCCTGTAGGGAATCTGACTTCCTGAGTCTTACAATTTAGCTAGGAAATTTTTGAGTAATCAATTAAATTGAATTAAATTATCTCTAATTAACTTTTAAACTAAGCAATTTCAGCTACTAGAAGAAAATCCCCCCCAATGGAAAGGAACTATACCTGCCCAGGAGCCAAAGTTGTATGTCTTTTTGTGTGGCCAGATCAGTCAAGACTGGAGAATCATGGTCCAGGACAGGGCGTGGCAACTTTGGCTGACTGATCTGATTGGCCAGGAATACAGTCTCAACCCACTGCGTGGATTATCCATCTCCAGTGCTGGAGAATGTTTCTAATCCCTTTGAAAGAATCAGCCAATCACAAATGTTTGTATGTACCACAACTCTCTATTCTATACACACAGACAATACAACAGCTGATTATAATGAATCATTTTCTGTGATTCTCCTCCTTTTACACACATTATTTAGATTTCTTAGTATTTCATTGTATTTATTCACAGGAGGAAAGAATGCAAATATTTTATTAATTTTTTTGGTTGTTGGTTATATAACTTGTTAGTTATATTACTAAGGGGACAGAGATGAGACTACAGGAATAAATGCTGCAAAATATACTTCTGTAGGAAGACAGGAGGCACTGACTGACTACAGTCCAAATACAAATATTTGTAATTCCACTGTAAACTGACTCAAAGCAGCAGTAGTTTTTCCCTTTGACTAACGTTTCTAGAAACCACTTCCCTCAAAGTGCATATCACAATAATCAAAAATTATTCAATAGCCCAGCCAACTCTGCCTCAAGTCCTGTGATTTTTTTTTTCTGGATTTATCATGAATGCCAGCATTTGTCATAAAAACGTGATTATGAACTACAGTAACACTTTATTTGAACTATTTTCCATTTCTAAATGATGTAACTTTGTAATGATGATAATCACATATATTACACGGGAAGTGTTGAAGAAGAAAAGTTCCATGTTTTTGATGCAAACAGAAAAAATAATTGTCTTTAGTGAGATAGCGTATAATCATATTCTGTATCTGTCAAGAAGCTACTGAAGATCAAATGTATTGTTAAATTTTAGTCTAAAAGAATAAACATCCTTTTGATAGAAAAAACTATTTTAATATATATATATATATGCACATCTCTAAAGATATATTCCATTACTAGGTTATACAAATGTAATTCATTCTATAAAAATAGTAAGATAAAGGCCAGGCTTCAAAATTAGTCAACAGGTTCTGCACTTCCCATTTAACATGTGTTTTTGAACACGTGTTCCTCATAGAATCATAGGGCTGGAAAGGACCTCGGAGGTCTTCTAGTCCAACCCCTTGCCCAAAGCAGGAGTCCTTATACCATCCTGGACAAATGGTTGTCCAATATTTTTTTTAAAAAACTCCAACGGTAGAGCACCCACAACTCCGGTAGGCAAGCTGTTCCACTGATTAACTGTTCTCATTGTCATGAAATTCCTCATTTCCAAGTTAGACCTCTCTCTCTCACATGTTCCAGTTCTTACTGCTTCTGAAACACAGGGAGCCTTCAGACAGAAGTCACTTGTGATACAGAGAAGGGAAGGTGGTTTGCTTATCAAAAAACTCTAGTTGCCCTCAATGTTTTTCATCCTGCCCTAAAGGCAGAGTACATAGTTTGTTATATAAAAATTACAAATAACTAATAATGTAGGTAATGAGAGAAAACCACATTCCCACAATGGTAGCTTATTCAGCAGTTTTTATTTTTCCATTTATAGAATAGCCATATGGAATTAATGGGCATATTCAGGTTCTGGGAAAGAGATTCATTCAACTTGTTACTGGAGTTTTTCTTTTTTATTTTTGTATGAATCCCTCAACTTTCCATGGGCCTCAGTGGATACCCAACTATGCAAATTACTTGTCAGCTCTGGAATGTTCTAGGGCACTGTCAGTTCTTGTTGACAGAGTATGTTTCATAATCTTATACAACTATATATACGAAGAAATCCTTTTCTATCCAAAAAGACATCAATGTGGTTTCTTTCAGTTGTTACAGTCATGAATTAGTTTAGTTTTCAAAAAAAAAAATAGCTGCAAGGAATAATCCATAAATCCAGCAGGAACCCAATTTCTCCCCACATTCCATGCATGGAGATTAGAAAAAAATAATCTATTCTGGTAATTATTTTTGATGAAATTCAAATTTGAAATCATCATTAGTACATATTTTCCTACCTCAAAATCAATGAGTTGTAGATCAGCTACTAGGGTGCTAAGAAGACCGCTGTTGTATAGTTCTTGAGCAAGCTGAGCTACAGCTTCTGTCTGAGGTTCCTTTTCATTGGTGCCATATAAGATTTCTTTCATGGCAACTAGGTTTTTTGAAACTTCTTCGGTAGCCTACACAAAGAAAAAGGCTAGTTACTTTTAAAGCTGAAAATCGTTTCTTTACTAATTTTACTACTTTTTTTTCATTTATCTTAACACACCTTTACTGAAGAAAAAAGATGTGATCAAAACAAAAAAAACAAAAAAAAAGCAAATAACAAAAAAACAACAGAAGGGGAAATATAACGCATGTATATCAAATTGCAAAGGAGTTTCTCATTCTATATTTAAAAAGATAGTTCACTAACATTACAAAATATCATAAAATCAATGTAAAAAATATATTTAGTCATTAAATAGTATGATTTATAGATAACACTCTATTTCCAAAAGCAATTAAGTTATATATCTCTTGAATCAAATCCTTACTACCTTTCCAATTTTTCAAAAATAATTCATTTAGCAACACCCAAAACTCAATATGACTAAATCACTGCAAAAATAATCAGATCCCAAAGTTATGGGATGTAATTTATCATAACAGTAGAGCATCCTTATCACTGTAAAAATATCTTCATCAGAACTGAAGAAGCTTCTTAGATGAGAAGCAAAATTTTTCAAGGAAAAATAAAACAAGAAATTCCAGTTGCTTTTTGGAAAAGCACCTTTGATCTCCCAGATATTAAGCTGAACAATTCTGGAATTGAAGATATCTCATTTAGGCCACCCTCTTTTTCTGAAAACCCATAAAATACGTCCGAATCACACCTTTTTTATTATAAAGTTTCTTATTTAGGAACCTGTAAAAGATTCTCTGGACTATTAGAATACCCCTATTTTACATATTTTTACAACATGCTTGCTAACTATTTTTTGGGCTGTTATAGTCTGTAAAAAAAACAGGGGGCCAAGTTATTTCGCACACTTAAATACATTTAGTTTTTGACACATTGTCATACATATGTCACAAAATGGTCACATTGGAAAAGCTTGCATATTCCCAGCTGTTTTGCTGGGTATATCCTGTCACAAAGCTCAGTACTCCAGAAAAGAAAGAGAGAAATGTGAGCATTTAGAAATGAAGAACGCAATTACTGAAAGCCAGCATGGGTTTGCTAAAAACAGAAGCTTTATTGACTTCTTTAATTAAGTGACTAAATTAGTGAATCAGGGAAATACTATGGATATAGTATCCTTGACTTCAGTAAGACATTTGACAAAGTAAACCACAGACTACTTCTTGGCAAAACAGAACAATGTAGAATAGGCAGTCCTCAATGGAACTACATCTACATGGAAAGAAGAATGAAGTGGGCAGAATCAAAGTTCTGTTTTGGGCTCGGTGCTCTTCAATATCTTCATAAATGATGTAGATGAGGGAACAGAAGGGGAACTCAATCAAATTTATAGGCGACACCAAGCTGGGAGGAATTGCTAATACTTTTAGAAGATAGGCTCAAGATTCAGAAGGACCTTGAAAGATTGATCATTGGCCCATCCGAGAAGATGCAGTTCAGTGGTGAAAAAATAACATCCTGCACTTAGGCAGGAAAACCAAATACATAAGTATAGAATAAGTATTTGGCTCAACAGTAGTAGCTGTGAGAGGGATCTAGGTGGATCATAGCTTATGTATGAGTCAACAGGGTGCTGCAGTTGCCAAAAAAGCTGGTTCTAGGCTGCATCAACAGAGGAATAGCATCAAGATCATGGGAAATTATAGTATTGCCACATTTGGAATACTGTATCCAGTTCTGGTCATCATGACACAAAACATACTGAGGCCCTAGAAAGAATGCAAAAGAGAGCAACCATGATGATAAGGGTTCTGAAGTCTAAATTATACAATGAATGGTTGTGAGAACTAGGTATGTTTAGGCTAATGAAGATAAGGCTCAGGGAAGACACGAGTCTTCCATTACTTGAAGGGATGTCACAGGGAAGACGATGACAATTTATTCTCCATAGTACAAAGGGTAGGACAAGAAGCAATAGATGCAAGCTCAAGCTCATCAGAGGGAGATGCAACCTGGAAATAAGAAAGAATTTTCTGACACTGAGAATGATTAATCAGTGGAACAGCTTGCCTTCCGGAGTTGTGGGTGCTCCATCTCTAAAGGTTTTCAAGAAAAGATCGACAAACATTTGTCAGAACACCTGCTTTGGATAGGGGATTGAACTAGAAGACCTTCAAGGTGTCTTCCAGCCCTATGATTCTATGAAAGGGAAAGGAAACCAGACTGGTAGGACCAATGGGCATTATTTTCAGGACATTAGGGTGGCTTAGTGATGAGATATTGGATGTCTGGAGGATGTAAAAAAACAGTTATCATAATCTCTTGGAAGGATAAAAAAATGTCAGGCAGAAAGAGGAGACAGACTATTAATTAAGTTCATACAGTTGACTATTTATAGCATCAAGAGTAATTATACACACCACAAGCACATTGCCAATTTAAAAATAAATGCTGAGGTTAACCAAAAAGATAGAATTAGATCAACATATATTCAGAAGCAGACAAAAAGTCACCCTAATATACCAGCTACTAAATGCAACTATTTAGGATTCTGCACCCAAAATCCCAAGAACAGGCTTCTCCTTCAAGGTGTATAATTTAAACCAAAAACAAAAAGACCTTGTCCTTTGCTTATTATGTTCAAGTCAGGATATTAGCTTGTCTCTTACTAACAGACTCAAACTGTTCTTGGCTTCTTTCAATAAATGTTGAGGAAAACTGCATAAGAAATTACACTGCATAAAAATTATACACATGCATCAGTTGTATAGATTTTTAACTGAATTATGATTAGAAAGTCAGGGGAGTGCAATATTGTTATATGACTGCATTCTCAGTTATAAATTCAAAAAAGTAAAATGACCTCTGGTTATTTCCTCTGCTTCATATATGCAGGAAAATAAGTTTAATCATTTAAATTGTTTTCTTAGCCCCAACAAGTTCTGTGGGCAATCCATACTTTATAAAGTATGGTAAATTTAAATTTCAATGAAGTTTATTAGATTTTATACTGTTTCAATCATGTGACTTTTGGCAGTGTACATAAAAAAACAAATATAATAAAATGTATATAAAATTAAAAACAATTCAATAAAAATATTTAAATAACATTTAATTATATAATTTGAATTCTTAATTCTGAAATCATAAAGTTACCATTTCAACTGAGAAATAGATTAGGCAAATAAGAATTCTGGTAGATTAAAAGAGTAATGATTGATTAATGAACAGTGGGATATAAACTATAAGAAAATCAGGCGACAGTGAAAATGCAAACGGGAAAGTAAAGAAAGTTTTTGTTTGTTTATATGGGAACAGAGAAAAGTTTCAAAGAAAAAATATAAATGTTATTAAAATAATGCTGATAACAAATTAGTAAGAGTTGGAAAAGCTTCAGCGGCAGTCGATGTTCCATGTAATGTCCTTCTACAAAGGTTATAATCATTATTTGCCAAAAATAAAACAACAGATACTGCTGCTGAGGATTAACAAAAATGCTTGGGAAAATTTGTACCGTTAAACAATCCCTCCAGGACAGTTCCATAAAAAGAAAATGTAAACTTTACCTTTTCTACCTTCTTGTCAGAAATATCTTGTTTTTCTAGAACTGCCATACTTTCTTTCAAATTCTTCACTATGTCTGCGGGAGACTTGTGTGATTTGCCAAAGGGAAATGGCATGCTTGCAAACGACAAGTGTCTTTTCTTCTAGAAGTCTTCTTTTACCTAAAAATTAAGAAGGGAGAGAGTTAAGAGTAGTAAAGAAAGTATGTAACACCTGGATACAAAAAAGCAGAATTCAGCCTGAGATTTTCAGCTTCAAATTACCACAGATACACTGGAGTATATCAGTATAAGGTTAGTTCTACAGAAGTTAGCAATCTCTATAAAAATTAGAATTTAGCCTATCCAAATTAATTAATTTTCAAATTAATATCTTACAGATACAAAACAGTTCTGACTTTTTTAATATTTTGGGCAATAAACTTTCCAAAAACCATCTGCAGACCAAATGCTTTAAACTACAGATTAGAGCCATCTTAAATATGCAAAATATTATCTCTATAGAAGAGGGGTCTCCAACCAACCAACTGTGGAACGGCACCAGTCCAAAGCCCACCAGCAAGTGAAGCCCAATCCATGCATGTGCAGGATACAGGCAGTAAGCAAAACCATTTCTCCCTGGCCCACAGAAAAAAAGCCCTCCATGGAACCAGTCCCTGACACCCAAAAGGTTTGGGGGGAGCAGCTGGTATAGAACAGTTCCACACAATTTTTGCAGTTTACTCTTTCAATTTTATAAAATATACAGGTGGTAGTTCCTACTCAAAATTTATCTGTTTTAGAAACTAAGCAGGATCAGGCTTCATCACTAACTAAGCAAGACAGTTCCAGAGAATATCATGTCTGGAGGCATTCTGGGAAAAGGCAATGGAAAATCACTTCCATACTGTTGCTGAAAAGATATATTATCTGTAAGGATATCGGCACAGGAATCAAGTTCAACCTGAATTTATTTAATTAGTTTCTCAGCATCCAAGTAGGTGAAAGTGCTATTTAATAATTAATCCCTCAAGTTACTTTATGACTGGGAACAAAAACAGCCTTTAAAAAAAAACTAAAGGGCTATTTACAAAAAACAGCTTGGTGAAGCTAAGGGAACATACCGGTAGTTGCCCCATGAAATGTACTCAGGAAGCAAAATGTAATTGCTTAGTTAGTCCTCACAAATATGAACTAACATGGTTAAGGCTGGCTGGAGCTTTTGGAGGTGGAATTCAAGCATTTCCAGAGGAATTAGGTTTGGTGGGCTGCCTCTATTCCAGGGGTGTCAAACTCAATTTCACTGAGGGCCACATCAGCATTGTGGTGCCCTCAGGGGGGCCGGGTAGATGTGGCCCACTGGGTGGATGTGGCTGCAGTGGTCAGAGTTGAGTGGGTGGGTGTGACCACCTCACTGTTGCTCAATGGGGGGGGAATGCCTGTGGGGGCTGGACAGGGTTGGGGGAGATCCAGGGGGGGGTCTCTGGCGGGTAGGTCGGTGGGCAAGAATCTTCTGCGGGGTGGTGAGGCAAAACAAGGGGCAGGGCAAGGATGCTATTACCACGGGGCAAGGTGAGGCATGGGCCGAGGCTGCTGCTGCCTGACACCATCAGCCCCCGTACACAGAGGCCAGCGAGTGCATGGGGGCTGACGGTGTGCGTCAGCAACCACGGTCTGCCGGCCCCTCGACTGGCACACTCTGCAAATACCGGGCCAGCCTTCTAGCAGCAGGCAGAGTAGGGTAGGTGAGGGGGTGGGAGGCACATGATGCACCTACTCCATCCCATCTGTTTTTGCCTGGAGTTGGAGAGATCACTGTTGGTCATCTCCTTGGCCTCTTTGCAGATTTTGCCCTTGCCCTGTATGTGGAGCCTGTTCCCCTCATGCACCTCAGCCTTGCCTTGGCCTGGCGCCACCAGAAGCTTGTGCAGGTCCATTAAGCTGCCCCCGCCCGGAACAGCAGGCCCGCCCAGCACAAAGGAGGCAAAGCAGCCACCTAGGAAACTAGAGTAGAGGTGGTAGAGCATGCTCATGCCCAATAAGCTAAAGGCCATCCCAAGCAGGGAAAGCCGGATCCACATCAGCGCCATGGCTGCCCAGGCCCAGCCAGGATTGCGTATCTCCTCCCATCTCTGCTGGGGCTGGACAGTCATGGCACCGATGGGGATCCGGCTTTCCCTGCTTGAGATGGCCTTTTGCCTGCTGTCCTGGAGCGTGCTCTACCACCACTACTCAGGGCTTCCTAGCTGACTGCTTCGCCTCCTTTGTGCTGGATGGGCCTGCAACTCTGGGCAGTGGCCTAATGGACCTGCAAAAGCAGCTGGCAGCCATGGCTGTGGCAGGTACCAAGGTGCGCAAGGGGAATGCACTCCACCTGCGGGCCAAGAGCAACACTGAGGGGGCTGACACGTCCAGTGGCGACCTATTCTCCAAACAAAAAAATGGGACCAAGTAGGTGTATCCGGCGGTACACATCACATGCCCAGTATTCACAGCAGACTATGCATTCCCTGCTGCCAGACGACAGCAGCCCCCGTGTGCTCATTGCCTCCAGTGCATGTGCCTTGGGGGCTGCCGGGCTGGGCAGGGCCAGAGCCAGGGCAGTGGGGTGCAGTCCCTCGCCATCGCCATGAGATCTCCGTGGGCCAAATATTGGCCAATTGTGGGCCGGATATGGCCCGCGGGCCTTGTGTTTGATGTGTCTACTCTATTCCATTCCATTGAGCAATTTAAATGATATAATAATATAGAGTAGAAGAAAAGAATTGTTAAAAACCAATGTAAATAATTAAATCATGAGCCGAGGTGGCGCAGCAGTTAGAGTGCAGTACTGCAGGCCACTTTAGCTGACTGTGTTCAGCAGGTCAGCGGTTCAAATCTCACCGGCTCAAGGTTGACTCAGCCTTCCATCCTTCCGGGGTAGGTAAAATGAGGACCCAGATTGTTGGGGGCAATGTATGTATGTGTATGTGTATGTATGTGTGTGTGTATACACACACACACACACACACACTGCTTACTGGTGTACACCGCTTAGAGAGTGCTTGTACTTAAAGCGGTATATAAGTCTCATAAATAAATAAATAAATATTAAGAGACATCATTTAAAATGAAGGCTAAATGAATGGGAAATTGAGAAGCAGAGATATTTGAATATAGAAAAACATTCCTGAACTTTAGATGATTGGGTTATAGAAAACTGTTCACAGCAAAATGATTATTAAAATATCTTCATTAAATATTCTAATTAAAACAACATTTTTAATCCTGGAAAAATACCTCTTCCAAGTCATCTGTTACTAGCTATTTCTCAAATACTATATGAGACATGCCAGTACCACACAAAGTGGTTTGTATTTGCAAATATTTTTCATAAATTATTAAGCAACTAGTTTTAGATTCCAAAAGTCTTTTATGAATGACAAAATAAAAAGAAAACCTACTTGACAAAACAGCTGTAATGTTTTTGTTAGCAGATGAGAAGTGCCAAATCAAAAACATGCACAGGGGTGATTAATATTCAAGAAGCTGTAAAAAAAATCTTAATCTATTTTACGGGGAAAGGAAACATATAATAAGAATTAGGAGCTATGCGATATTTAAGAATACACGAAAGCAAAATAACACCCTGCACAACTGTATTTCTCAGCAGCAGCAGCCGAGAAGGTCCCATCGCCTCTGCTACCCTATATTCCAAGGTCCCATTGTGTCCAGCTGACTATAGGTGTCTTCTGCTACTGAGGCCAGGCCAGCCCAGTCCTACGCGAGGCAACTGTTGGCTGCACCAGGCCTTCTTCCCAAATCTGACTGCTACTATTCTCCAAATAGCACACCCCATTTTTATCATGCTTCAGAAGACCTCAGAAGATTTCCAAAGGTTTTGCAATGGCAACCAACTGAGGGCTGCTTCCAAGGAGGTCAACAAGCTGCAACTTCAAGGACCGGGCAAAAGTAACATTCATTCAGCACTGCTGTAATTTTGAACAGTTGCTGAACAAATGGTATTAACTCAAGGACTACTTGTATGATAGAGAGAGCCACAATTAATTAAAAAGTTTCTAAAAATAAACATATACAAGAGTCTAAATTTTAATCATATTCAAATAGTGGATGGCTATTTTGGCTAATACTCAGATATTAAAGCAAAATAGCTGGGATTTTAGAATAAATGATACACAGATTCCCTACCTCTTTGTCGTATGCAGAACAATTTTGAAAAAGAAGAGTTAATGTAAATTTATTTCCTGTCCATTTCCAATTCTCCAACTGTAAAATTTAAAGCAAGTACTGCCTGCAGGCTATAATATTTTGTGTATGATTTCATTTGGAAGGCAAGTCAGGAGTGACCAATCATCCTGAAAGCTAAAAAATACAAAACTCAATGAACTCTTTTGCCATACATACTAAGTATTTAATCGCTTTAGATCAGGGGTGTCAAACTGCCGGCCCGCGGGCTGGATGCGTCATGGTGAACCCCCCCCCCGATTGCCAGCAATGGAAAAAAAGTCACCATACATTGTGATATGTCACATGATGTTGCAAGTTTGGCATCCCTGCTTTAGATCCTCCATCTTATTCCAAGAGATAGCTAATATCAAATTTCAAATAACTTTTCTTGGTGACATAAAATCTTTGAAGCTTGCATATTTTCAGAATATGCTGTGGTGCTGTCATATAATGTTGGTAGATCAAGAAAAAATAACTTTGCAGTTTTAACATATTTCATAATCATCAATAATTTAACAGATGAAAAATACTTAAATACCAACAAAAGGTTTATTCTAAAAAAGTAACATAATTTCACAGACACCTACCCAAATTCCCATTTTCCCTGAAGTCGTGATTCTAGCACTTCTCCAGCTGAGGGTTGTTTGGAAAGAAGGGGATGTATACCGTTTCTATATTAAATTAAGGTTGCTGTTCATTACTTAGGAGTAAGTACATGAACACATTTACTTAAGAGAATACACATATAGGACTGCACTATCAACTAGTTTCTTTCAATCGAAGATAACAGATTAAAGTGCATTTTTCCTAAACAATGACTGCATTTGGCTTTGAGAACTACAGATAGTTCTCAAGTTAAAACCATTTGTCTAGCAACCATTTGAAGTTAAGGCAGAGCTGAACAAAAGGACTTACCACCCATGCACAAAGTTAAAGGCCACTGCAGTGCCCTTGCA